GTCCCCCTCCACCCACACATCAACGAATACCGGTCACGTTTGGACGTTGAGCAGTTTTTCTGCCGCCTCCACCTCCGCGCTTACTTTTTCAACCGTGAGTCTAACCCTCCCTCTACTGATCCCTTCTCCCACCTCCAACACACCCCGTCCTCCTGGATATCACCCCAAGGCCTCCGACCCTCCCTCAACCCTTTCATCTCCAACTGCCATCGAGACATCAATCGCCTCAACCTCTCCACCCCTCTCACCCACTCGAACCTCTCCCCCACAGAACGTGCAGCCGTCCGCTCCAATCCCAACCTCACCATAAAACCCATGGATAAGGGAGGCGCAGTTGTAGTATGGTGCACTGACCTCTACATCGCCGAGGCCAGGCGCCAACTCTCCGACACCTCCTCCTACCGTCCCCTTGATCATGACCCCACCCCCGACCACCAAACCATCATCTCCCAAACCATCCACAACCTCATCACCTCAGGTGACCTTCCACACACAGCCTCCAACCTCATCGTTTCCCAACCCTGCACTGCCCGCTTCTATCTATCTCCTTCCCAAAATCCACAAACCTGACTGCCCTGGTCGACCCATTGTCTCCGCCTGCTCCTGCCCCACCGAACTTATCTCTACCTATCTCGACTCCATTCTCTCCCCCTTGGTCCAGGAACTCCCTACCTACGTCCGTGACACCACCCACGCCCTCCACCTCCTCCAGAACTTCCAATTCCCCGGTCCCCAACACCTCATCTTTACCGTGGACGTCCAGTCCCTATACACCTGCATTCCCCATACAGATGGCCTAAAGGCCTCCGCTTCTTCCTGTCGCGCAGGCCCGACCAGTCCCGCTCCACTGACACCCTCATCCACTTAGCTGAACTCGTCCTCACACTCAACAACTTCTCTTTCAATTCCTCCCACTTCCTACAGACAAAGGGAGTGGCCATGGGTACCTGCATGGGCCCAAGCTATGCCTGCCTCTTTGTAGGTTACGTGGAACAATCCCTCTTCCGTACCTTCACTGGCCCTAAACCCCACCTCTTCCTCCGTTACATTGATGACTGTATCGGCGCCGCCTCGTGCTCCCACGAGGAGCTCGAACAGTTCATCCACTTCACCAACACCTTCCACTCCAACCTCAAGTTCACCTGGACCATCTCCAATACCTCTCTCTCCTTCCTGGATGTCTCCGTCTCCATCTCTGGCAACCACCTAGAAACCGATATCCATTTCAAGCCCACCAACTCCCACAGCTACCTAGAATACACCTCCTCCCACCCACCTTCCTGCAAAAATGCCATCCCCTATTCCCAATTCCTTTGCCTCCGCCGCATCTGCTCCCAGGATGAGGCATTCCACTCCCGTACATCTCAGATGTCCTCATTTTTCAAGGACTGCAACTTCCCCCCTTCAGTGGTCAAGAGCGCCCTCGACTGTGCCTCCCGCATTTCCCGCAACTCATCCCTCACACCCCCTCCCCGCAATAACAACTAAAACAGAATCCCCCTCGTCCTCACGTACCACCCCACCAACCTCCGGATCCAACGCATCATCCTCCGACACTTCCACCATCTGCAATCCGACCCCACCACCAAAGACATTTTTCCCTCCCCATCCTTATCTGCTTTCCGGAGGGACCACTCTCTCCGTGACTCCCTTGTCCGCTCCACACTCCCCTCCAGCCCCACCACACCCGGCACTTTTCCCTGCAACCACAGGATGTGCTACACCTGCCCCTACACCTCCCCCCTCACCCCATCCCAGGCCCCAAGAAGACTTTCCACATCAAGCAGATGTTCACCTGCACATCTGCTAATGTGGTATCTGTATCCGCTGTTCCCGTTGTGGCCTCCTCTTCATTGGGGAAACCAAGCAGAGGCCTGGGGACCGCTTTGCAGAACACCTACGCTCGGTTCGCACTAAACAACTACACCTCCCAGTCGCGAACCATTTCAACTCTCCCTCCCATTCCTCAGATGACATGTCCATCCTGGGCCTCCTGCAATGCCGCAATGATGCCACCCGAAGGTTGCAGGAACAGCAACTCATATTCCGCTTGGGAACCCTGCAGCCCAATGGTATCAATGTGGACTTCACAAGCTTCAAAATCTCCCCTCCCCCTACCGCATCCCAAAACCAGCCCAGCTCGTCCCCGCCTCCCTAACCTGTCCTTCCTCCCACCTATCCCCTCCTCCCACCTCAAGCCCCACCCCCATCTCCTACCTATTAACCTCACCCCTTGACCTGTCCATCCTCCCTGGACTGATCTATCTCCTCCCTAACTCCCCACCTACACTCACCTTTACTGGCTCCATCCCCACCTCTTTGACCTGTCTGTCTCCTCTCCACCTATCTTCTCCTCTATCCATCTTCTATCCGCCTCCCCCTCTTTCCCTATTTATTTCAGAACCCCCTTCCCCTTCCCCATTTCTGAAGAAGGGTCTAGGGCAAAACGTCAGCCTTCCTGCTCCTCTGATGCTGCTTGGCCTGATGTGTTCATCCAGCTCTACACCTTGTTATCTCCATTCAAATGTCACTATTTTTAACTCCAAAATCTAACAATTAGAATAATCTATATATGTCTAAATCATACAGCTTTCATCACACCAACACAGTTCTGAAGTGTCAGCCTAGATTTTATGTTGTAGCCTCTGGAGTGGGGATTGAATCCACAATCTTCTAACTCAGAGGTGGTGTCAACTGAGCCATTGCTGATATCTAAGGACAAACCTGCTGATGAATGTCCCCTTATCATTCCTGTTTGTGTTACAGACCAGGACAGTTCCAGCTTCTGTGCCAAGATTGACAGCAACAGAACAGGTAAGTGGCTGCTCCTTAACGATTTTGAGCTGTTGTCTAATTTTTACTCAGATTTTATCATGGAACCAACAGAACCCTTTGTTTTTGTTAAAGGTGGCAAGAAATTCACAATCAGTGCTTCAGAAGACCGTGAGTCAATGTCTGCTTTTATATTGAGAAAATATATATAGTTTGAGATCACTCCTACTCCCCCATATCTTTATGAGCTGATTTCATTGAGGGTCTGGTAACCTGAGTAAGGAGTGTTTGATGCTGCACTGGGAAACTTCAACATCTCGGTTTTGTTCCTGCCCAACTGTCAGAGATTTATCCCAAATGAGAACTCCCGGTTCAGTTTTAAATGACGATGAATTCTCCCCTGACCAGCTGCTCCATAACGTGAGTCCCAACCAGTACTATTCCCTCAGTATGGATTTATTGGAGGACAGTCGTGTCTGATGAACTTAATTGAATTTTTTAGGGCATTATGAAGGACAGTTGATCAGGTTTGTACATTGTCCATCAAAAAGTGTGGAAAGTGCCAATAAGCTCTGGAGGATATATGCTGGTGAAAATGGCCAGACAAGTGATGTATTTTGATATTGATTTGAATGAAATGAGATGATATAATCAAAGTTGTACAACTTTATATAAAGGCAAAATGCTGAGAATGCTGGAAATCTGAAACAAATATCAATATTGCTAGAGAAGCTCAACAGGTCTGACAGCATCTGTAGAGAAAGAAAAAAAAGTTAACATTTTGAATCCCGTATGACTCTTTGTTCTAAATAATGTTTCAAATCCGGTATTACAGGTTGTCAGAACAAAGTAGAATCGTACCAGACTTAAAACATTAATTCTCTTTCTTTCTTCACAGATGCTGCCAGAGCTGCTGAGTTTCTTCAGCTTTCTCTGTGTTTGGTGCAATTTTAGAATGGTTACAAGAGTAGGACTCTGGGACATTCAGAAGAATTTGAAGCTCAGAGGATTAGTTGAGATCAATTACAAAAGCAAGGATATAGTACTTTATAAAACATCTTTTAGAACCTAGCTGGAGAAACTTGGCTAATTCTTGACACTCTCCCTAAAATGAGGTGTCAAGGTTTTAGTAGAAAGAAAATTTTTAGTCAAATAATTCTAGGGGTGAGTCTTCAGGAGTTTGGGAGTTAATCTTCTTAGAACAAAGAAGCTTAAGATTTAATCAAACCATGCCAAATCAAGTGGAGTTTTGTGGGGAAAAAAAGTGTCAGTTAATAACAGACACCTGATCAAAATCCAGATGGGGTGTGACTTCAAGAGGAACTTGGAGCTGTGATTTTCCCATCCCTCTGTTGTTGTCCTAGTCAGTAAAGGTCATAGGTGCTGGGCAAATTGCTACAGTGCATCCTCTCAGTGCTATACACTGCTTGATCATTGTGCCAACTTGGATCCTAGCTAATCAATGAATCGGAAACCAAGACACCTTTCTTTGTGGATAGAGTTTATTAACAATTTGATCTTACAGCTCTTTCCACTAATGCCATCTGTTCCCCCTTTATATAGTTAATTAATTCATTCATCCCAATTAATTGCTTAACCACACTAAATTAACATATTAATTCTAATAAGTACCTTTATGTGACTCTATGTAAAATGGCTCCCTGATTCTCATGCGATCATTAGGATTTGGCAAATGTGTGCTATAAATACAAGATGCTATGGTACTGTAAAAAATATTGATTTTAGAGGTAAGAAAGCTGTTATAATAAGGTAGTTTCAAAGTGAATGCTGTTTGTGTTGCAGCACAGCCTGATGCCTGCACCTATGCCAGCATTATAATCACCCACAGCAGGAAAGGTAACTATCTTTAAACTGATGCTCAGCACACTTTATATCTCTTGTCATTTTGTGATATTTACTGTTTAACATTTATTGTCTTTAATAATAGAACATTCTCCATCAGTTCAAAGCAGCAGGAACTTCACAGTTGCTGATTCTGAAGTGGGTGAGCTTGTTTGTACTTAAAGTCCTATTACTAACTTCTTCTCCAACTTCCCTTTGCTCTTCCCCTGAAGAGTATTCTCCTCTGTGTGAAGTGGTGCTAGTTTAGACTGGGTGATTCATTTCTCTGTCATTAGGTCCCCAATTCTATTTGGCTATATTGTGAAAGTTTCATAATTCACTTATTCATTCAAAACATCCTCATCCCAGATGGGTGTCTGCCATGGATCCCCTCCTCTATCTGTCCTATGTTGCTGTTAAACATTCTATGCAAGCCAACTGCATTCACTCCTTTAACCATCTGGATAATTACATATGGGTATAAAGATGCACCTCTGTCATCTATTTTCTTCTCTACTTCTCTTCTCCTGTGTGTTCCATCATGCACTTTTAACAATATCTGTCTTTTGTCTACAGACTACACTTTTAAAGTAAACAAAATACTGTAACTTCCTGTGTTTGATATTAAGTGCTAATTTTCTCTTCCTGGAGCCATTTCCACCACTAACACATTTGTCTTTGAGCCATAGCCATACAGCATGGAAACCAACCCTTCGGTCTATGCCGAACACAATCCCAAAGTAAACTTGTCTTACCTGCCTGTGCTTGGTGCATATCCCTCTTTTAAATTCATGTTCTTATCCAAATGTCTCTTACATGTTGTAACTATACCCATGCCCACAACTTCCTCTGGAAGTTCATTTCACACACTAACTACTCCCTATGTCTTTTTAAACAAAAAATTGCTTCATGTCTTTTTCAACTTTTCTCCTCTCCTCTTAAAAATATCCTCCCTAGTCTTGAAATCTGCCACCCTAGAAAAAAATGCCATTCTCATTACCTGTACACCTCATGATTTAATAAATCTCCATAGGTCACCCCTCAACCTTTATACACGCCAGTGGAAAAAGGTCCCAGCCTCTCCTTGTAACGTAAACCCTCCATTCCTGGCAACATTCTATTAATCTTTTCTAAACTCTCTCCAGCTTAATATCCTACCTATAGCATGGTGACCAGAACTGGACATGGTATTCCAGAACAAGCCTCACCAATGTCCTGTACAATATCAACATAATGCCCCTTTTTCTGTAACTATCTTCACCCTGATTGGGCTAAATATTACCCTCAAACTGTAGTTATAATTATAATCAGCTCTAACTTCAGTATCTTTGATTGCAGATGTAATCTATGCAGCTGTTGTGAGCACACATTAGGATTGAGTGTTTACAACTGAGGCTGCACTGTTCCCCAGATCAAAGTCAAGGAGCATCATTGGATTCACCAGCTTCTAAACCTGACATAGTTATTCTATGAAAATAATTTTATAGGTATCTCTATTTAACTGTGTTAATACATTTATAAATGCAAATGAGTCTAAACACTTTAAATGTATCTAATATGTTCTGTCAATCTGTATGCCTGTGCCTACATCTGTAATAGGGCAGTATTCGTTGTGCATCCAGTTTACCTGAAGATGATGTGTTGGATGGCTTCTTATTACATGACCTCAAAAGGCAGCTAGATAACAAAATGACATGATATTCTCCAGTATAACTTTAGTATTCTTAGTATTGTTAAGGATTACCTGTTCATAGATTCTTTGTTTTCTCCAAAAATACTGTAAAAGCAGAAAATGGTTTCAGCTGTGAAGCACCATCCAAGTTGCCATTACATACGAACTCAGCTCAGCTCTTTCTTTTTAAAAGAAACAAAACTGAAGACTTCAATCTTTGAAGCAGTGCCAATGAGAACAAAAAGAAAAGCATTGTACTTGTTGTTGCAACTTCTAAAGAGCAGTACAGTAAGGATAGAAAGCAAACATCTGAACATGGATTGGCAGTCAAGTGACACTGTTAGAATTTAAGTTATTCAAAGGAAGAATGAATCTTCACTTCTTAGATCAATAAATAGCTGAAAACATAAGACAGGCAGTCAAACTTCTTCCTGGTTTGGGAAATGAAAGATCATGAAAAATGAAATCCTCAGTGTTCCTAGAGATTACCACAAAGATCCTGACAATATTTCTAATTTTAGAAGATCAGTTTTTAAGATTTAAGTCAACTTCTGGATTTGTAGATTTTGAGCTGATGTCATATTGTCAGCAGTGAAGTGAAAACAAATTAATTGGCAGATTTCGATGCAAAGGCACAGAATGAAACTTCCATGAAAGGCTCATGGAACTGGCCATTGCCTCTGTTTGCAAAAGCAGTCAGAATGGTCAGTAGCATCTGTAGGTGCTTGACTGTTGTTTTGATGGCTGAAATTGTTGTCCCAGATCATCAATATCACCTAACCTTGTACAAGATGGAGAGTATCTCTTCCACCAAAAGCACGTCCAGCATCTTGTACACATACGTGTACAGGCTATGTTCTACAAGAGGACATTGGGCTAAAACAAGCAGAAAGAAACCCAGAGTGCAACACAATTCTCCAGAGCGTGTGAGGAAGAGCCAACCAAACAGCAATGCCAAAGATGTTTCCAAACCCTGTCCATGGCAAGTAAGCATATTGTCAAAGTCCAAGAGGTAACAACAGCATTACAGTTTACAGACCCCAGTCAGGCAGTACATGTGGTCAATTTGATACACCACGTGGATGCCATCAGAAATATTGAAACTGTTACCTTCATCCAAATGATATACCCTAAAACTATAATGCCTAGTATGTGTTATAGCATGCGAAAGATGGTAGCAGAATAGTAGTGCTGCACTTGAGCTCCGGAGCACATTCACTTCCATCTGCTTTTTTCTCCCCCATTCTTTCTTTCTTTCTTTCTTTCTTTCTTTTTCTTTCTTTCTTTCTTTTTGCTTTTGCTTTTTCTTTTGCTTCAGCGAGGCATTGGTGATGGGCCCTGCCCAAGCATGTTCCAGGATCTGGTGATCAGAGGCTGAGAGTGTACCATGCCCAAGCATGTGGGTTCATTGATACAAAACATTACTTGTAAAGTTGAGCATCACTTAGTTTGGTGCAGCTCCATTACTTGTGCTTTGACAAAAGACAGCACTCTGCATGTCTGTTTAGATCTAAGAAGATGCATTATTGCACTATAAAGATATTAACACAAGGTTGCTACCCCGAAAGTTGTTCCCAAGTTTCAATCTTGATGCCAAGAATGAATTTTTATAGCACTCTGCAGACTCTTTGGGTCATCCCCACCACTTGACTTCTCACCTATTCTTGTGTTGTCCACAAACATGGCATTGTTACACTTGTGTGTGTGTCCACGGTGGCCCTGGCACTGGTCCCTGTGGCACACTTCTAGTTAGTTTGTCAGTGCCCAATGAACCAAAACCCATTCTACCTACACAAATCTTTGAGCCACATATTTAACTCTTCCACTTTTTAAAAACACTATACTAGTTTTGTCCATAGCGCAAGTAGTAATCCAGAGATTATTGCATTGGAGGTTCTGCCTTTCAATTTAGGTTCCAAGTCTTTCAGTAAAATCTCCTTTCTATTCCTACCAATGTTGTACGTAACACTAGACAGCCTTCTGGACTCCTGCTCATGGCAGCAGAAAACATTTATCTGTATCCTAATTTTAGCATCACCTACCACAAGTACACTCCTATTTTCTTCTCCAACTTGTATGCTCCCCTTATCAAGATGCCACGGTCATTTTATTCATCCTCCTTGCAGTCCTGCTTTTATCTGCACTTCTTGTAAGAACCTCATAACCATCGGATGATTTCATGGGCTAAGAGTCCTCAATTTTAACCCCCTTGGTCCTCAGGCTTGCCTCACCAGCAGTCACTCTCCTGTCCCTGATCAGTCCAAATTTGAATGATCTAATCTGAGGGATGTGACAGTCTTCTGGATCAAAATGTCCAGGTAATTTTCCCTCCATTCCCAGTTCTGAGGTAGGGGTCACTTGACCCAAAACATTAACATTATTTTCTCTTCAGAGATGCTGCCAGACCTCCTGAGCTTTGACAGCAATTTCTGGTTTTGTTTCTAACTTTCCCCTGTCCTGAAGTGGCGCTATATCAACAAGTCAGATTCTGGCTCCTCCACTCTGATCCAAAGTTCCTTGAGCTGCAAACACTTCATTCGGATGTTTGTTCTGATCACATTGGTGCTCACTGAAAACACAGGAAACCTAAACAGACTGATCTTCTGCATTGTAATGCTTCTGTGATTTGAGTTTGAGATGAGAACTGTACTCTCCCAGAGGGATTGAGATGTTTTGAACTCTAACTCAAAAGGCAATGGAAGCAAAGTCGTTATTATTTTTGGGGCAGAGGTAGGTAGATTATTGATAAGCAGAAAGGTGAAGGGTTTCTGCTTAAACAGCGGGAATGTGAAATAACAGGACAGTCTTGATCTTATTAAATGCTAGAGCAGGCTTGAAGGGCCCAATGGCTGCCTCCTGCCCTAGTTTTATGTTTTGAAGAAATATACTTGAAGGAACAGAGGGCATTAGAAAGGGTGTAGAAAAGATTCACAAGAATGGTTCGAGAGATGAGAAACTGGAGTTATGTAGATACATTGGGAAAACCAGAACCGTTCTCCTTGTACAAGAAACAATTAAGAGCAGACATGATTAAGGTATTTCCAAATCATGAGCTATCTGGACAGAATAGATATGGAGAAATAGTTACCTTTGAAAGGATTGTGCTTGATTTCCATTCTAAACAGCCTGGTTCCAATTTTAAGATTATGGATTCACGCACTTGATGCAGCACAGCAGGAGAACCCAAACCTTTCATTTTCATCCTTTGAAAGAGCAACTCCATTTCGCTGTTGACCTGAATCTCTTTTCAGGTAGTTATCCATTTCTGTTTCAGCATTGAATTTGCCATAACCACACGTGTGCAGTGTTCCAGATTCTAAACAGGTGCTACATATTGATTTTCCTCACAGCATTTTTTTGTTACTTTTGCCACACACCTTAAACACCTCTAATTCTCACATACAATGTGACAAAACGCATCGATGAAGGTACAGCAGTGAAGGCATGGTAGGCTCATTGAGGAAAGTAAGGAAGCATGAGATTCAGAGAAATTTGGCTGTCCAATTGAAGACAAGAGGGTGGTAGTAGATGGAAAGTATCCAGCCTGGAGCTCGGTGACCAGTGGTGTTCCACAGGGATCTGTTCTGGGATCTCTGCTCTTTGTGATCTTTATAAATGACTTGGATGAGGAAGTGGAAGGGTGGGTTAGTAAGTTTGCCGATGACATGAAGGTTGGTGGAGTTGTGGATAGCGTGGAGGGCTGTTGTAGGTTGCAACAGGACATTGACAGGATGCAGAGCTGGGCAAAAAAGCGGCAGATGAAAGTCCACCCAGAAAAGTGTGGTGATTCATCTTGGAAGGTCGCATCTGAATGCAGAATACAAGATTAATGGCAGGATTCTCCGGCAGTGTGGAGAAACAGAGGGATCTTGCAATCCATGTCCATAGATCCCTCAAAGTTGCTACCCAAGTTGATGATAGGGTTGTAAAGAAGGCAAATGATGTTGGCTTTCATTGGCAGGGGAATGGAGTTTAAGAGCCGTGAGGTTATGCTGCAGGTCTATAAAACCCTGGTTACATAGAACCTAGAACCCTTCGGCCCTCTGTTTTCACAGGTCAGCGCAACAATCTGAAGCCCATCTAACCTGCACTATTCCATTATCATCCATATGTTTATCCAATGACCATTTAAATGCCCTTAAAGTTGGCGAGTCTACTACTGTTTCAGGCAGGGCATTCCATGCCCTTACTACTCTGAGTAAAGAACCTACCTCTGACATCTGTCCTATATCTATCACCCCTCAGTTTAAAGCGATGTCCCCTCATGCTAGCCATCACCATCCGAGGGGAAAAAGGCTCTCACTGTCCACCCTATCTAATCCTCTGATCATCTTGTATGTCTCCATTAAGTACCCCCTAACCTCCTTCTCTCTAATGAAAACAGCCTCAAGTCCCTCAGCCTTTCCTCCTAAAGACCTTCCCTCCATACTAGGCAAATCCTGGCAAATTTTCTCTGCACCCTTTCCAATGCTTCCACATCCTTCCTATAATGTGGCGACCAGAACTGTACGCAATACTCCAAGTGCGGCCGCACCAGAGTTTTGTACATCTGCAACATGACCTCATGGCTCCGAAACTCAATCCCTCTACCAATAAAACCTAACACACCATACGCCTTCTTAACAACCCTATCAACCTGGGTGGCAACTTTCAGTGATCCATGCACATGGACACCGAGATCTCTCTGCTCATCCACACTACCAAGAATCTTACCATTAGCCCAGTACTCTGTATTCCTGTTACTCCTTCCAAAGTAAATCACCTCCCACTTTTCCGCATCAAACTCCATTTGCCACCTCTCAGCCCATCTCTGCAGCTTATCTATGTCCCTCTGTAACCTGCAACATCCTTCTGCACTGTTCACAACTCCACCGACTTTGGTGTCATCCGCAAATTCACTAACCCATCCTTCTACGCCCTCATCCAGGTGTTTTATAAAAATGACAAACAGCAATGGCCCCAAAACAGATCCTTGAGGTACACCACTAGTAACTGAACTCCAGGATGAACATTTCCCATCAACCACCACCCTCTGTCTTCTTACAGTTATCCAATTTCTGATCCAAACCACTAAATCACCCTCCATCCCATGCCTCTGTATTTTCTGCAATGGAATGTTGTGTTCAGTTCTGGTCACCTCATTATAGGAAAGATGTGGAAGCTTTGGAGAGGTTGCCGAGGAGATTTACCAGGATGCTGCCTGGACTGGAGGGCAGGTCTTATGATGTAATGTTGAGGGAGCTAGGGCTTTTTTTGACCAAAGAAGGATGACTGGTGACTTGATAGAGGTTTACAAGATGATGAGAGGCATTGATAAAGTGGATAACTACAGACTTATTCCCAGGGTGGAAATGACTATTAAGATGGGGCATAATCTTAAGGTGATTGGAGAAAGGTATAGGGGTGATGTCAGAGGTAGGCTCTTCACACAGTCGTGGGTGTGTGGAATGCACTGCCAGCAGTGGTAGTGGAGTCGGATACTTCAGGGACATGTAAGTGACTCTTGGATAGGCACATGGAGGATAGTAAAATGTAGGTATGCAGGGTAGATTGGTCTTAGTAGGATAATAGGTTGGCACAACATCATGGGCTGAAGGACCTGTACTGTTCTATGTTTTGCAATTTTCATAAGGGCAGTGGAAAGTTCCAGGTCATGTCATATCATTAGGCTTTGAGGTAGACAGAGGGGGCTGGAAGAACACAGCAAGCCAGCCAGCATCTGGAGGAAAGGAGCAGTCAACATTTTTGGGTATTACCCTTCGGGTTTGGAATTGGATAACAGCAGTATTGAGGTGTGTTTTTTTTTTTTTCCTCTCTTCCCTGTAAGAAGAAAGAGTAGACTGAACTTTGTATTGAACTATGAAATGGAAACAAATGGTTTGGAAGTCAGACTGACTCCAGCTTCCTGCTTTGGTAAATGAATGACCACTGTTGGAACATTCCCAACCTGTTTAGCCACCTTTAGCAAAAGCTCGAGCATATAGGACCCTGTCTCTGCAGTTTAGAGTACCCAAAAGCAAAATTCTGGAAATACTCAAGCTTTAAGGTAGAATTTGTAAATGGAGGAAAGGAATTAACATTTCATGTCATTGATAAGTTCTGAAAATTCTGCTGAATGAGAAAGCAACAACTCAGTAACTCTCCTTTGACATCTCTTTCCAAATTTGTGACCGATACCAAATGGATGGGAACACTACCACTTGCAAGTTATTTATTTATTGTTATGAATATCTGG